TTTAATGCCAAGACGAGGCATCCCTGCTCTTGTTCTGGAGTCACCTATCAAGGTCACATGACTGTTGGGACCTGAATGACTAAAGCCCATCCATCTATCCATCCAGATAAAAGGACTTTGCCTTGTAGATGGTAGTTGGTTGCTAGGGGGCTTTAAAAGTTCCAGATGTCTAGTTAACCCTCTTGTGTCTTTATCATGTCATATGTCGATCAACAGTATCCTTTGCTGAAGCTGGTAGTTGCTTCAGTTTACTCACCTCAGAGTTGACACTGGTCTGATTGTATCCTCACGTGGTGTTGTCTGGACCTCTCAACGATGGCTCTCGGGCCTACTCTACGTTACAGTGTGTCTAGTTAGCGTTTAGCTTAGCACTAATTAGCAGATTGTGTTTCTGTATGTGTGCAAGTTCACGGATGCAACTTGCTAAACGAGCTTGTTGATTTTAGCTGATAACTTGGAACTTAACTCTCTGGGTGTTGCAGCTAAAATGCTGAGGCTGTACCCGGTCTTTAAGTCTGACATCATTAGCCGGTTCCAGGTTCAAACTTTGCTTCAGGTCCCAAAGTCAAACAAACACTGCGGCATCACTGAGAGTTAAAAACTGTCTAAATTCTTTCATCTTCAATAAAATGATCAGTGTGGCTGCTCTACCAGGTGTAACAATTAAGTTTAACATCCAGGCATCCATGAAAACACAATTTTTAAATTTTAGTTAGCAGGGAGTTAGCTTGCTAGTTTCCATCTAAAGATGATATAATCTAAAGATGATGTAATGACTGAGAGATTTCTGATGTAATTAAAACGTACAGCTCTGCTATCACTTCCAACATAAATGAAAACTAAACAGCAGTGACGTTTGTAGGGTTACTGAAGGTGGGCTAGCTGGTATATAATGATGTGCTACGTGGTGGATAGCTACACAGCTATGGTTAGCATAATATAAACACAGCGAACCTGGAGGATGAACGCTAACCTTTTTTTTCTGAGCTTTAAAATGAATAGCGGTAATAAAAACCGAGAGAGGCCGACAGTGGTCACTGCCTGTTTTTACGGGGCTTCAAATGTAATCACTTAAAGACCAGATGAGGCTACAGAATCCAAAAACTGGTGATGTCACAGTGTCTATATCCATTGATCAAATAAAGGCCCACCCTTTAAGCCAACCTTCATGTGATTGGCTGCTTCTAGCAAACAGAAATTGAAAGGGCAGCTGGGTGGGGTTCTCTCTGACATTATGTAGCACTAAACCGGTCAAAATAGTGTTTGAGCTCAATCCTCAAACAGCGCTCAGGCGCGATTAGTTTCACGGGCTGACTTTTTTTCTGCTTTAAATATCAACACAATTCACTGTAAGCTGTGTGTTACAAATACAAATAAAAAATATTATATAAAAATATTATATAATAAAAATATTATATAAGCCACTGAAAGTCCAGATCTCAGAATGATTTTAGCCATGACTGCCTGTTTCCCTGCTTTTCCCTCCATTAGTGCTTCCCCTTTGTCTTAAAAGTGTGTGAATGTGTGTGTGAATGGGTGGATGAATGGGTGGGTGACTGAACGTGTAAAGCGCTTTGGGGTCCTTAAGGACTAAGTAAAGCGCTATACAAATACAGGCCATTTACCATTTTACCATTTAAAAGAATTTATTACCACATTGTCAAGAGTAGGGTTTGTTTGGGAAATTGTGTGTGTGTGTGTGTGTGTGTGTGTGTGTGTGTGTGTGTGTGTGTGTGTGTGTGTGTGTGTGTGTGTGTGTGTGTGTGTATCTTGTGGGATCTTTTTCCTCCTCAGCGCTGATGTGCAGGCAGAGCTGCATCTCTGAGCTACTGAGCTGCTGCCAAAAG